GTTTAATACTGTACCTCTGAACAATATAATTATGATTTACACACCATTTCGAATTTTGCGATAATTTTATGAATTTGCAGTTCACTGAACTGTAGTACATTTTTCGAATGCATATTTCTGTTAACTGCAAGCCATTTTTACCCAAGCCACTGCGCTCTTGATAGATAGATGACGGATAACTTCACAAGTGAAAAACAATAAATCTTGCGTCTGACTCAACTATTTTGGATCCAATGTAAACCTTTTTGGAACAACTAAGCTTTCTTTTGGCTTTTGGTCGAAAATTCTGAGTCCGTATCTTCATAGCGTCATTCGACGGGTAGATATAATAGTGACTGCAGTGAGGAGTTGAACTGATTTATACTCAGCAATGACATTATGGTGGCATGATGTTTGATAGGTTAACAGGTGCACAAACATAAATATCTTTATTCATGGAAACTATACGAACGTTACTGCTTCACAGATGAGCTAATTTGCAAGCTAACATTTTAGATTGGAAGATATCTATTAGAATTTGCAGTGGGTGCAGCTGAACAGGATCATTATTTTTATAAGACCAACTCCACTTCAACCACAAGAAGCTTCCTGAAACCTCAGTATTCTATGAAACTACACGATATTTTCGCGCTAAAAGGTAACCTTACGCTGATCAGAACTGTGTGCTGAAATGTTTGAAGGCATGACAGCCCATCTTAATATTTATTACTACTGTCAGGTATCAAGCGGGCCGCATGTGCATAATTGAAACGTACAGCAGGTCATGAGGGTTCATGTCTCAAGTCACGACTATTCGGTATGCTGTTGAAAAGCTCAGCATCTAGTAACAACAATGCAAGTGTAGAGCATTTGTAGTTGTTTTAGGTGGACAATTTGGTCATGATTTGGCCTTAAGCGAGATCATGACAGCTTCCAGCGGCAGAAAGTAGATGGTATAAATAGCACTCATTGCACACATTATAACCCATAACCTAACCACGTGGGATGATGACGCCTAGCAAAAGTTTTGAACCTACTCTCGTCATATAAACGGTTGAAAAAATGGTGACAGATACGGAACACCAATGCACACCAGACATCAGTATTTTAGTCACTTGGGTTAGATGTCTGTGAGAAAACATGAGTGCATATTCTTAAGCGCATGAGAAGGAAAGTCAGCCGGTTGATTTATGTTCAAAATGTTTTTTCTCTTTTTGTTCCTTTACGTTCCCAGTGCAACATAGAGCTTCAAGCTAGAGACTTCAAGTTTCGGTAGCAGTGGTGTTTTTTTATGAGATGAGGTTGCTAGCCTCTGCCGAACCTTCCTTTTGGGCCAGTCTTATCAGTGGCCTAACTATGTAAAGGAGTGCTTTGACCGGAGATCGAACCCCAGACCACCTGCGTGGTCTACCGCTGTGCCAACGACACACAGTTCACAATGTATGCATGTCTGGTATCAGTTTGGCAGCATGGAGTTCATAGATTGGTGTCCCAAGATAACGTGAAGTGTGACCGATTGGAAGAAGCCTTCTCTACACATCTATGTGATAGGATTAGTTGAGTTTCGCTCTTTGTAGAATGCGCCGCTTGTGTGACCACCGAGATAAATTTCTTTAAGCTCCGTGTTTAGGATGACTTCTTGAAAATCGGCACAACAAAACGGCTAAAATATTATTTTAACCAACAGTCTTTGTTGTGACACTAAGTTGTTTTAATCCTCTGGTTTCGGTGTAAACTCAAGGTTACGCACAGCGCGGTAGTTTCGAGGTATTTTTGTAAGTTGGGTTTCATAATACGTTAACCCTTCCTAAAAGCCTCATTGGTATGTACCACATTTTTGTGAATGATGTCATATTTTAGTATTAGTCTTTTTTATGCAATTTCTAGAGGAAAATTTGATCGGGAAGTGTCCTTTAATATTGCATAATAAAATATATTTTATAAATTAATTATATTGCATTTTGTTTATTTTGGTGTGACTTATAAGATTTTCACGTCGTTTACAACTGAGGAAGAATTTTCGCTTCGTTCTAGACTGAATTCGTGATTTTGAATATGTGTTTAACTTAGATTTGTATAGCTTCACATAACCATAGTTTGACTTTTATAATCATCTATAAGACATGTAGGTTGATCTTGATGAAACCTCAACTTTCGAAAGATTTGGGAATGTTGCTATAGTAGTCACTAATCCTACATGTAAGTTGGTAAGGATAAGAGTTATTGTGTTAATACAGAAGTTGTTTCCCTTCGTTTTGAACTTAAAAGGCAGTGAATTGCGGTCGCAGGTCGCGATTTTCATTTCTGGACCTACATTTGAAGAATTTTCCCTCTTTCTATTCCTAAAGGCATCATGGACTATGATAGATTATTATTACTCACCGGTAATTTCATTAATGCCCCTAGTTATTCGATGCTTCATGACACAGTTAACTGTGTCATGAAGCATCGAATAATGTAATTACATGTGACTGACAAGAATTTCGACTATTCGTGTAGTTTCTGTTAACACCTATCTCACTTCTTTAGAAACTTCAATTTCGTCAGGACAAAGTATTTCTTATCCTTATTTTGTGCAAAATAAAGATCATTCAAGGGACTTTTGTATTTCTCGGTAAATTCCATATCATTTTTCACTTATGTAGAAGAATTCTCCCATACTTTCCTAATGAACTTCAAATATTATTGTTTGAAAAGACATCTAAAAAGGTGTCTTGATATCACTGCGAAAGCTACAAAGTTATTTGTTCTTCGTGAGATGTGTACCTTCTTAGGTTTTGCACATAAGTTCTTAGCGAAGTTAAGGTATCATAGCCAAAGTGAAGGTCTCTCAAAAGTTGACCTTCGAAAACCGATTAAACACAGGGAATACTATGAAATGTTATTCCAGATCAAATCATGTCTGCTCTTTTGGACTTGAGATGATAGATACAGTACTATACTTATTTACTAGGTACTTTTTCTGCAAATGTATGCTTGTAGGTAGGCTTATGGCTTTCAAGATTAAGGTTGAGCGTCTACTTTTAAGGGTTAGATTTAGGATCAGAAGTTAGGATTATAGTTAGAGTTAGGAGGAGGTGTCAGAAATACCAATGGATCTGAAAGTACCATGACCTACAGTCACCTGGATGAATGGGTATATCGCGCATGGTACAATTTGTCAATAGATCATCTGTGTATTGACTGGGAGACATTCTAACAACACAGAAGCTATAACTATACAGTGTAATACCATGTTTGCAATATATTTTAGTGTAATTTTCAGCGATTATGTGACTTTTTTACATCTGAGTTCTGATTGATCGTCCAAGGTTAATGTAGTTTTGGCTGTTATAGTTTATCTTGCCAAGCATGTAAATATATGACACATTTTTCAACCTGTCTTTAAAAAAATAAATACTTTTACCAATACTGTAACTTAGTGAGTTCATTTCATTAACATTTTTTATGTCTATTCAGTATAATAGAAATCAATCAATCAATGACACTTAATAACCTTTTGCATATCCATGCAGTTGGCCACACACATTGCATGAGAGCTGATTATGCTCTTAGGGGGTGCTCAAATCTCGATACCTGGAATTGGTTTGGAACCCGTAACCCATTGGCTAGAAGACAAACGCCTGCACCAGTGAGCCACAGCTTCACTCAGTGACGCAGGAACAGATTAATCAATCTTTTCTGGTTTTAAGCATCCTTTAACATTGTATCATTAATTGTTGTTTAAGGATTATGGTTGGTTCAGCAACGTATTTAATAGTACTTTTGTATTCGGAACAATAGGGCTGACGTTTGTGGTTTGGTATGAACGGTAACTCAACCGAATGTTGACAACTTCCGAAAAGAATGGGACTTAGGATTCCAAGACTAATAGCCAGTAACCGTTAAACACTTTATAACTTTTGTACACCCTCCATACACCAGTCAGAAGTGTATGTATTCATCTACAAGATTTGAACACCATCCATATGAGTCACAATGTCCCAGAGCCATTTTTCTCCCCTACAGCTTCGTGTTTGCTCTAATATATTGTCAGGCTTGTCTGAGCGATATCGTGAACCGCGACATACTACCCCTTTTAGTACTTGAATACGGCCAAAAGTTAATCCCCACACAAAGTAAATCAAGCAAACTCACTCAATTAAAAATGAAAGAAGTGAAAGAGATTAAAGTAGACAAGCTTATGGGGACTGAAATTATAATTTCAAGTTGGTACAATTTTCGGAAATTTTAGGATGATAAAGAACAGATGCACCTACCCCGCGGTTATTTTTAGTGAAGAGCCTTAAAGGCTATAGTTTTCGCTTATTACAGTGATCATTTTGAAGTTCTGATTTCTCAAGTAGTATACGAATTCAACAGCCATCCAGGTTTCTTACAACGAGTCTTTTATGGGACTAAAAATCTTGTATCCGTTCCTCTATCTTCTGTATAGAAACTCAAGAGGGTTAGTCATAGTAATATGAACGTCATTTACATAACTTACTCTATAAAAGTCTTTATAGATCGGGAAATTTCATGAGGAACTTTCGGGGATTATTTATTATCTTATGATACTTTCGTTATCACAATAAATATAATTCATGTGATAATGATATATAGTTCCTGTGGTCTTGGGTTATTTTGCTGCCCTCCTCGATCTAATATTTCCCGCGCTTCAAGTCACCAGCTGGCTCATCTGTGGGATATTCCTCCCCCTTTTATGTAGCTTTTTATTACCCAAAACTTTTATGTAACACTACTCACCTGTCAGGTTTGAATATTCTCACCACTTGTGTTTGTTAGTTATCTTTGATAGTCATTCTTTTATCCTTATTTATGAGACAATATAGCTTGCGCATCTCGGCTAAAGTATTACATGGAGTTATTTTATAGTTGTCACTTAATAATCTGTATAATCAAAGTCATTTTCTCCATTACTCCTTGATTTGGACACACTATATAGCCACTAAAAGTTTAAACATAGACCTCATTCATTTTCTAGTTATAGCTGCATCAGTAACAAGGCTGGAAATGAAGTCATGACTGTAATTGGATTGAATCGCGGCTTGGAAGAAAAGTTTGATTTGTTTTGCTCTGCTGCAACTTTCGAGAGCATATTGGCATATTTCTATGAACTATGTGACGGTTTAGTCTCAAAACCTACGAAGCAATCGTGGAATATTTTCCATGAGTTGAGTGTAAACCTCAAGTCTTACTGGAAGGCTGCTGCGTTGTTTTCAAAGCTAGAAAAGCGTGTCAAAATGGAACAGTATCATCACCAGACAGTTTGTCGAGATATGAATGTGAGTTTATAATGCTTTGAGCATTTAGGTTTTTTGTAAACACTGGATTGGTGATTTATTTATTTGTTTTACACTGTAAAAATCATATTTGGTTTGATTGGGTTTATATATAGGGCTGTCATACTGGTATGTATGCCAGTAATAATTTATGTACTTTTCGGGGTTCCAACAGACTACAGACTTTCATCTGCTTCTGCCTTCGTTCATCACTGAAGATCATATAACCGGCCAGAAATAGTATGCAACAAAGGGCTATGGCAGCGAAGCAGTTGTTGACCTGTTACCTGAGAAATTTGCGAAATAGATATGAAGATGCAATGAACCTACACTGAGGAGACTTTTAAGTAATATTACACGTCAGGTCTTCGAGTAGAAGACGAGTGGGAAGCGGCAAGTTGGGTTTAGGTTCGAGGGTGAGGAAGCTTGTGGGCGGTCATAAGGTTAGCTGAAAGTGATGGCATAGGACAGAGTGGAATAGATATATACTACCGAAGCCTTATGTTCCTCTCGGAACTTAAGAAACGTGTAATATAATAATATTAACATAAGGGATTCTAAGATTTCTCAGATATTTAGAACATATATTGTCCTTCCAATTACTTGGTAATAAAATATATAAAGGGACAGTACGTAAGGCTAACTTCACTAGGGAGAAAGAGGTATGCATAACTTGGATTTCATTTCTTGTTTGACAAGAGGGACAGTATGAGGTATACTGCTAAGCTATTCAAATACATTGGGGTACCTGTTTCCAAATTACAGTTTGTTAATAGTCTTATGTATTGTAGTGGCCCATCAACGTACCGACTGTCGTTAGCCTTTCAATCCACGATTCTTCCAATAGGAATGTCTTATAACATACATCGGATGCCTAGAAATGTCGACTAAACGGATTTGTTGAGTTAAATTGATATATGGCCAAGTTATTGTTGCAGTTACTGCTTAAAATACAGAAACTAGGAGGATGTGTGTAATAGAAGTGGCTGTCTTACAGGGTTGAATTTTTGTCACGGTCAAGATAAGAAAATTGTCAGTTTCGTAAAAGATGAGTAAAACATAAAAGGGCTAATTTAGATAGAAATAGGTCAACACCATATTAAATCATATCTCACTGTACTTTAACACTGAATTTCTGAGTTTACTCTTTAACTTGGATTTAAAGGATGTCACCCGTGGGTGGACAAGAGAAATCAACTTAAATACAATAAATAATAAACTGAGTAACTCAACACTACACCGTGTGAATCGTTTAGATGCACATGACATAGATTTTAGTTTTCAAGGTTTTTAACTTATGATATTCACTTGTGTTAAGATACACTGGACGGACTGCGTCGGCGGCACAGTGGTTAGGACTCTCGCCGACCATGCACATGGTCCGGGGTTCGATCCCCTGCCGACGCACACCCGATATCAATGGTCGGCCTGCAAAATTTGAACTACCGATATCACATGCTGAAAATTCCATACTTGTACTAAAAAGTATCGTGTGGTTTCAAGCTATAATAAAAAAAAGACACGAACTGGAAACATTCTTGTTGTTTATTTGTCGACTGTCTAAAGTAAACACATTTTCATCCTTTCTGTATGCTCTAAACCATTGTTATGGCTAACAGTCTCTTGTTTAATTCAAGATCTAAATATTGTGTCGCACTTTTTTTAGACAGAATTAATATCAGCTGTATGTTTAGTGTCCGTTATTCCTATTGAGAAAATCTGTAGTTTTATTTTACAATTCTGAACTATCAGACAATATTTATCAATAATCTGTGGAAATGGTTTTAACAGCAAATAGCTTAGATATTAATTGGAAACTAAATTCTGACGACGTGTAACATGTATCTTGTAATTCAAGTATCTTATACTCAGCTAATCTGTAATACTAAAAGGAAAGTAATGTTTATTTTTAAAATGACTATGATTTACTTGTCTATTTGTTTTAAACACTTTTAAGCATATTTATGTCTTTCACCTGTACTTGTATACTGAAGCTTAGAGATAGTGATGCTATGCATTGATATATCACCTGCTTAGACGTGGATGCTAAAATGTTCTATTCCTTTTTCAAGCCTCAGAAATTTCCTTTGCTATTGTCAGTTATCATGTGAGTATAGTCTCCCATGTTACATATATATATATATATTCGATTTTTGCTTTATTTATGTAGGTTCTTGTTATCGGTTGTGGACCTTGTGGTATGAGATGTGCAATTGAATTAGCTCTCCTTGGAGCTAGAGTTATTATTATTGAAAAAAGGCATACATTTTCAAGGTAAGAATTCATTTTATATCCTCTAAATTACCATAAATGCGTACATTTTACAGTGCTTATTTATTCATAGGTTGTTTTCTGGATGCATACAGTCATTTTGACGAGTTTCTTTTTATCCCATAGCGATTTTTTCAACAGTGTTCCCTCAGTTGATCTAATTTATAGCCGTAGTGTATTTAAACATCTGCTTACGTCATATATTAAACGTAGTAGGTTCAAATAGAAAAGGCTTTCGTGTTACCTTGATTTGCCGTCAGTGGACCATATATTTGGAACTAAGTTCTTTCTGTTTACCAAATTTTGAACAGCTTTTTTATTAATACTAGTTCTCCTAAATTAAATAGGACTCATTGAATGCACATACATTCAAATCCATGAAGTTGCTTAAAATTAAATTGAAAAGTTAACTTACTTATATTACATGATTATTGATAGTTCACTAAAGATTTGCTATAACTATAAAAGTATATCTGTCTCACTTAATTTAGTTGTTTGTAATGCACACTGACTGACTGGTTTCGACGTAGAACTTTACATAAATATGCAGCAGTTGGAGTTGCCACACTCCTTGTAGCACACTATTTCTAAGATATTGACTAGACGCTGTTTCAAAGGAGTTATATAATAGCTACTGTATTTTAAGTGACAGAACCTACTATGGACCTACGCTGAAAACTATGCGTATATGTAAACATTTGAAAAATGTAAACAAAATCTGATTCCAGTGATTATCGCTTTGTTTTGATGCTTCTTTTAAACCGTACTATCTATTTGTAGTCTGGATACATATGAACATATTTGCAACATATACTTGAAAACCATAAACTGTTTTTTCCACACTAATTCCCTCAAAACTAAAAGCCCTGCTATTGACCGCTGTTACTATCAGTCACTATTCTACAATTTCATGGATACACTATTCACTGACGCTAAGTAAAATATTGCTTATTACAACTTGTCTGAAAATATTACGTCGGTGGTTTGTCCATGATGTTAGTGAAAGAAGGTTATGTAGGCTCTTTAACATATGTTTGTGCATATGTGGCTGTGTTCTGATGTATGCATGTATGCACCCCAAGTGTTCGAAATATGAAATCATAAAGGGCACTAATGAGGCTAAGACAATAACTGTATGGAATATAATTAGATGATATATATTAATAGCATTTTAGTACTTCAACTAGATAGAACAATTTAGTGGCGTACAATAGGATTTCCTATAGGAATTAAGTATTTTCTGCTTCCTTGTCGAAATGTTGTTATGAATACTGTGAACATCATATTTATTCAGCTAAAGACATACCTATTTCTAAATTAATAAATAAAACGAAAAAGTTATTTTTCCCCTTAGTCATAGTGAATACCTTTCGTGTGAAGGGAATCTGGATTCATATATATATATATATAACTGGTTTCAACATAGAACTTTGCACCGACTTGCAACAGTTCGAGTCGCTACACTTCACTCAGCACACGAAGCTAGAGAAGAAAGTAAAAAGAAATGCAAAATAGAAACAGTAAACAGAGATATAAGGCAAAAAGAATAGTAATATCTAAGAACAATATAGTTTTATTGGAAATTATAAGTCACAAGGAATGGATGCATCTGCGCCAGCCATTGAGAACAATTTTGAGTCATATCACCAATTGTCTCCATCCTTCATTGGTGTTTACCGGCCCAAGGACCCCAACCAGGAAGTCTACATCTTCCTACGTGGCTAGCTTAAACTAACTGTGTGGGTTTAATTGACTGATGAGGCCATGTTTTGGTTTGACCACCACTGGCTCTTTTCCAACCTGACCCTACGTCAGCTAACATTGCCCGTCGAGGAAGGCGATGGCTAGTCATACGTAACACAAGCCCTAACCATTTCAATTGATATAACTTCACAGCCTCGTCGACTGATTTCCCCTCCTTACCTAGCACTCGACTGATGCCTCAACTCAATATTGCTCACCCTATAATACCATCTGACACGGGAGATAGAACGCAGGCACCTATGATCAAAGACAGCTAACCTTTTCATGTCTTCCACTCTCAATGGCCAGGTCTCACAGCCATAAAGGAGGACGGAGCGGATTGATATAAGAATAAAACTTGGGCACTGTGGTAGAGTGTAATTCCATTATGGGTAAATTTTTTATTTTGATAGAGTCTCACAGTGTTATACAGTAATATTTACTGATGATAATCATATGATATGATTATGAGCAATAAATTGTGCTCGAAACGTCATCAGTAAATATTACTGTATAACACTGTGAGACTTTATCAGAATAAAAAATTTACCCATAATGGACGGAGCGGATTGCTGAGCGTTCTTTGGTCGATAGCCGGATATCACATCTACGCCAGAGACAGCGTAAAGTGGCATGTGCGAAATGAGCCGTCTGTATCCGTGCTGAGATTTCGTCAGCGATCAACCCGCTGGGTCTGGCTGATGCAACTTCCCGAATAATTGATGTGGTCAACACGCTCCACCAACCACTTCACTCCCTATTTCTAAGCTAGGAGTGAGTCGATGCATTCCAGTTCTGTAGCATCATCTTACATTTGGTGGGAGCGAATCGCATGCAAAACATTCACAGATTGCAACTCAAGATGTTTAAAAGACTCATGTGTATATACCTGGATCACTGTCCAAATCGTTTTTAATTGTAACAAATTTCCTAACCACTTAATAAAATGTTTATAATAAAACCACATTTTTAGAAATATATAATTCAGTTGGAAAAGTGGTTTCCATAATAAGAATAACCTTTATAGTAAGACTGACTTCTGCTTACCATGTAAGTGGTTTTAATTTTGACAGCTGAAAGCTAGTGAATCCTGGACACTATTGTCTCCATGATACTGTCCAAGAAAGAAGATTACCAGGAAAATGAACTTCCTTTCAAAATAATTTAAACCCTTAAAGTCATTTGATATGATTCCAGGAAATACCGTTGTCTTGTTTCTGCAGTTTAAAAATGAAAACGCCATCTATGGAAATTTTATAGTACAAACTGTTTCCTTATTAGAATGAGTGGTGTGAACTAGTGAGGTGCGCTAATGAGCTGTTCAGTATTTCTTTATTTTCGGTTGATGGTAGATCCATATCAACCCCAAAATTGAATCGTTTGACTTTTACCGAATCTCAAAGCTAAAGGAGTAGTAATACAAAAAGCTGAGTGTATTAAAGGAAATGAAATCAAAATAGTGAGAAAGAGAAGGGTGTTTGTATTAAAACATGATGCCACTGACCACTCGTGTAAGCCATGTAGGAAAGTTCGGACTACTTGTCTAGGATTCATGTAACCACTAGAATATGGCTCAGAATTCATCCCACTGGTGCAGATGGATTTACAGCTTATCGTCTTAATTTTAATAACTTATTTTTCTGTTTCACTTCCTTTTCTTTTGTCTTATAGCACTTTGTAACCTCAGATTACATCGTTTTCGTCTCTTTACTTTCCTTTCTATTATCTTCTATCTGTTGTGTGTAAGTTCAAGGTGCAATAATGCTGGGTCATATTTCGATAATACCTGATCAATCGCTTGTGAAAGTGTTAAACCGTTAATTTCGCTGTTCAATATCTTGTTCTAGGTAGAGTTATGTCTTAGGTTAAGTTTAGGTTTAATATAGAGTATTAAATAAGTAAAGGAGGTCAGTTGGTAGGATTATCAAACTTTCATGACTTTTAGATCGAAGTTATTGGAGAAGTTATCTGTAAAGACTATGAAAGCTTGTCAATTAAACCATCCAGCTCAAAGAAAAGCACGTCTACATTAATATAAGTATATGTATTTTAGGACTGATGTGATGATGAAAATCAAACCGAAGAATTTTCAGTTTGCATTCAAACTTGTGAACTTCTCACCATAAAGTATCATTCAACAATGTTAATAGTAATACCACAGATTTACGTTTTCATCTTAGATGGAACAGATATGCACACTGATCACTGTTTTACAGATGACTTGTTTCCAATATTTTGTTAAAATATTCTACGCAGAAAAGAAAATATAAATTTTGAAACTTCAAACCGTGAATATAATAATTTGCAATAATTGGTCCCTTGATTACATTTGGTTAGCAATATAATAAACTCTCCGAAAAAGTAGTGAAACAAAATACACACCGAAATATTTGATTGATTTTTTGTAGTTGATGTCACCAGCTTTATAGTATTCAAAAGCATGAAATATTTTTATTTTCGAAGGTTTAAATTTTTGTTAGCTTATATCATTACAGACTTTATTATTATACAGTATTATTCAAATATGTATTACCATGGATTTCGGTGTTTTTCGACATTGAATTTATCGTTGTTCCGTCTGTGTAGTGCCTTATTCAAATTTGTGAATTTCATTTGCTCCCAGTTTAGAATTTAAAATGTTCATTCGTCAAAAATATGTTTGGAAAGAAGTTGATATTTTAGCATAGATGACAGCATATTTTATTTTAGTGATTTTATTATGAATTACTCTCATTTTCTGACTTTTTATGGGGTTTGAACACTAATTCACTTGCTTGAATTTAGTCTATACTAAACGGATAGGTTATGTCAAAATACTGACTTACTGCAGGCTAGCTGGTTTATTAAGTTGACTGTTAGACACAAAGGTGTCTGTTTTAAGCCCTATTTCAGATGCTTCTAATTAACTTCACTAGGTAGATTACTAGCTTTCATAAAATAGACAGGACATGTATGCGGTATAATTAAGAGGCTCAAATCGCTAAACTTCTCAGTACTGTAAATTTGGAGGTAGGAAAACATAAGGTGATAATAAAATGAAAAGGGAGAATGCTCAAAAAAAACTAACAAGAGAAAATAAATTTATGCTATAATGATTAAAATGGTTTCTTGTCAATTAATTGTCCGCAGCTGGTATTTTTTTCTCAACTAATTATCGTAGACTTACACTTAAATAACCTGTGTCAGAAACCTTATGGAGGTCCTACTTCAAATAACATTGCATACTTAGGTAGGCGACAAATCAAGCATAAAACACATATCTGAGCCACCTCGTTAGATCTACTTTCATAACATCATTAGTTGTCTTGTCTTTTTAACCGATGCACTAATTCGCTATCAGTACAGTCACTTTACACGGCTTTTTATGCTGCGGTCTTTAGGATGCTCTCTTTGAAATGGCCAGAAATCGGTTATAATGATACAGATACATTCATCCATTATCTTTTTCGGAATTTCGAACATCTTCAATAATCTTTATTTATTATTTGTTCTCTCTTTTCACTCTCATATCTACTTGTTTTTGCACCACTGAATTTCTGTTCTCTTCTTTTTTGTGTAGTGTTGTGGCTTGGACTAATAATAAATTTGTGTTCAGCGCTAAGTTAGTCTGTCTTTCTGTCTGTCGGTTTGTCTCAGATTCTCATCTGAGTTTTATTATTATTTATTTAAACACAAAAAAAACTTGATGTAATATGGCACCAAGAAGATGCGCCACACAATAGTAACAAAGCAGCATCGATTAAGAGTAAAAAATATAGGTAGAGAACGCACAAAATACTTCACCTAGAAGGAAAGCAGTCATGTTTAACAAGTTTAAACAGCATTCGTCAATTATCGTCAGAAAGGGAAGAAAGAAGGAAATTGCAGCACGTTCGCCACTGATTACGATTCTTAGCCATATCGGATAACGTTTCCAGCCACCGATTCGAGCTGTCTCTTGGACTCCAACCAGGGAGTCGTGACGCACCAACCGATGCTAACCTAACACAAATACTCTTCATCCCACGACTCCATGTCATGGGCTGACCATCTCTCCGCTTTTCCCATCCCGTTCCTGGGCTAGCGAACAGAGACCTGTACGGAAGCCTCTGGGATGACATCCGTAGCACATGTCCAAGCCATTGAAGCTGGTGTTTCCAGTTGACAACACTCAACGAATGATGATCTCAGCTGTATCCAAGCACACGCCGGCGGATCTCAGAACTACTCACGTGATGATGCCATTGAATGCAAGCAATCCTGAGGAGACAGCGGTGATCGAATACACAGAGCCGCCGCACATCCTCAGATCGTAGAGGCCAGTGTTCACAGGCGTAGAGCAAGACAGCCCGCATCGAAGCATTGTAAACCCGAACTTTGACAGCTAGGCTAACGTCGCGATGGCACCAGAGGTGGCTGAAGTTGACGTATGCCACCCTAGCTTACATGATACGGTTGGAAATCTCATCCGTCACACCTCCGCCAGCACTGACACAACCCCCCAGATACAAAAACTTATCGACAACTTCATTTTTTTCACTTGCAAGAGTGAGTTCCGGTACAGGCTTAGACGGTGCAAAGCACATACCATACTTACAGACACTGATCGCCAACTGATTAAATGCAATTTGGGCAGCCCGCATGCATACTCCAGGTCGAAAAGTCTTTATCCAGGGAGCAGATCTTCACCACCTTCAGGGTCTTCAGACAAGCGCAGGTGGTACATACTATTTGAACTTTAAAATGGAGAGGATAATCGAAGCACTTCACTGGGATCTTGAATGTGGGTCTCGGAAATGCAGCAGACATCTATAGAGAGGCTTTCCAGCTTAGCTTGTTGGGTTACTGCGGTATTCAAGCCCAACCACCACGACAAGGTAGCAGTTGTCGGCCGGAGTATATAATTCTGGCTTTCTTATTCAATCAGCTTTTTGACATTAATGTTCTACATGATTTTCTCAGAACAATGTTAGCACATAGGAAATCTGTGTACCACATAGTTGATATGCTTGTTCCTAGATAAATGAAAAGTATGAAATTAAAAAAAAACAAATTACGTTTTTCTGCTTGCTGTTATCTTTGTCAAAACAGTAGTAGATCGGAATTTACAGGAATCCCTTCTCATACATATTAAGTCGATCGAATTTCTTTTGTATTGAACTCTCTCTCCCCTCTCCCTCCATTATCAAGTGAACGTAAAGATAAACAAGAGAGATACGTTCAGAATCTTTTATTATTTGATAAGTCTGTACACTACATGACTAATATGCGTTCGTGTAGTGAAAATTCTTGTCACATATATGTACGTAATGTCAGGTTGGGCATGCATTTGTCCTTGCGTTAGGTGAAACCTTACCTCATCTCCATAGTCTTAATAAAACATTTTCAATTCTAGTTTTCGCATGTATGATCTTTTTATGTCTTTGTTTCTTTTGAACTCTTCTTGTGTTCTTTGCTGTTGCAGTGTATAAATGTGTGTATGTTATAGAGGTCTGTCGTTATAACAGTTCCAGTATGGACTTTGTACACAAATTGATGTGCAAATTTCATCCTGATCTCGTTTTTAAGTACTGTTTGGACAATGGGTTGGTAGCACATTAGGGTTGTGGTTAGGGTTAGTATTAAGGTTAAAGTAAGGATTAGGGCGGGGTTGTTTTATTGTTATTGTTATCTGTATTTTGCTTGTAAATAGATAGATGGGAGGATAGTTTCTTGTTGTTCATATAGATGAAACCGCTTTGATACCTATAAGACTAGGAAGCTGATATCCTTCATTGCACTTTTCAGCCACAGAGTAAAATGTCATCTTTAATGTTTTTCATTATTAAGTTAATCTTCCTCGTGAATAAACTGCTTTTCGATGCATAATACAAGGCAAGTTCTGTAATCCAAATAATGCTATGTGTTCAAGGTCATTTGTGGTTTTGCACTATGTTTGCCCACCTTCACCCAATTTTCCCTGTAGTTTCATTACATTCATTTTCCTTACTTTTATCTCTGGTGAGTTGAACTGTCTCACTTTCGTTCAAAAGTCTACGCTTATAAACCAGTCACACAGCATTGTGCTTTGTCTTACACGTACGCGTTTCCATTGTACCCATTCATTAGGAACGTATAACGTAGCTCAACAATCCGTATGTTGAAGAAACTTATTTCCTATTGGCACTGGAAGAAGTAAAACAAAAAGGTTTGAAAAACTAAAAATTACAGTGATTAGTGTAGCATTAAATGTATAACTTCTATCATGAGGTGAATGATAATGACTTTTACACTATCGATGATGGTTTCAAGATACATCATCTCATATTTTTATCACTAGTTATGTGATGGGTTACTTCATGACTGTTCTGTTTACTGTGTGCCATCATCTTCTTTTAATGTAATTTTATCTATCGTTCCGATACACATTTGTGAGTTCGGTCGTAAGGGACACTTTAAGGAGTGGTGCAGGTATCTTCTTGTCACACCATATATATGTAACGCAGTTCTGAATTCGTAACTAATTGTTTAAAGTTGAGTGAGTAGACATATGAATCAATCCTCTGTGCTTCTACTCGTATACATATCGTAACTGGAACAAAAATATTAATCGTTTCAGCTGACATGTCTATGTTTTTTAGTTGTGTATGGCGTTAGAATCTTTTTATCTGCTTTAATAGTTGTGAGTTGGAAATACAGCAGAACTATATTCTTCGTATTTTGTGTGTACAGGATTTTCATATAAACTACTAGTTATTATATTTCTGATTCGTTTTTCACTCTTCCTCTTGTTACAGAAATAATGTACTTCATTTATGGCCTTATCTAATCGAAGATTTGAAAGCGTTGGGTGCAAAAACATTTTTTGGGAAATTCTGTGCTGGTTCAATTGATCATATCAGTAAGTTTATGCTTGTGTATGTGGTACATTTGTCTATCTTTTACCGAAATCTTGATTTTGTTATATCATAAAATTTTTTCTACCTAAAAAGTGATGCGCAGTTATTTGGTGCACGTGTACTTTTTCGAACAAAAACTCATGCCTCATAGAAGCGAAAACGTAAAATATATCTTAGGGAGCCCTTAAGTGTTTAATGTAAGTGTAGGATTTCGGCACTGTGGCAGAATATACTTCCATATTAGATCAACTTATTTGATATAATACACGGCGATACAATGATAATAACTGGATTAAGTTTCAGGCACAATTTATTGTTAATAAACAAATTTATTTACACAGATTCATAATTTGCATTATTTTATTGTCATGTTCCAATGATCCCATATTAGGGTTAAGTTATCTAGATCTTTTCAGCTTGACATACTTACTTTGAAAATAAGAAACTAGTGTATATGTGATCCTTTATGCAGTTACACACTACATATGGGATGATGCACCCATATACTGGTGATTTTTGTTAGTTCACCGATATGAAACATCGTACTTTAGAATAAATTAACAAAAACTAATTGAGAGTATCCTACTGTCACATATGTGTAACATTAAAACGAAAAAAAAGACGAAGGTCATACATGACGAAACCAGAGATGGAAGCCCTAAAACGCCTTAAGAATAACAAGGGCATATTAATCATTAAATCAGACTAAGGAAATGCAACAGTGATATTAGACAAATCAGATTATTTGAAGAAGGTGAGTACCAATATACAAACAGGACCATATGAGGAAATTAAGAAATCAATAAACACGCTTATGAATAAGGTTAAGAAATCCACAGAGGACCGTATACGCCGAATGAAGACGTTTCTAGGTGAGTCTAAATGGTTTAATTTGATGCCCAGTGGGATGTATGGTGTTGTTAAAGTTCGTTAATCAGAATACCCCATTAAAACTATAGTTGATTTTAGAAATCTACCTACTTATGAATTATTTAGATATTTAGCTATGGTATTAAACCCTATTAAAAGCCACTCAAAATCTAGACTAACGAATTCTTATGAACTAAAACATAGATTAAATAATTTAAAATTAGATAGTGGAGAAAAAATGGTTAGTTTTGACATTATCAGTTTATATACACGTTTACCGATAAATATGGCTATAGAAGAGGTCAGAAACTAACTCATTTCTGAACAAGAATTTGAACTTATAACAAAAATGCTACTAGAAAATATGATGTTACGAGTGTAGCCATGCCTAACTTCTACAGTATTCAAATTCCTAGGGAAAATATACGAACGAACTGAGGGAGTTGCCATGTGGTCCCCATTACCTTCGATAGTGGCAAATATATTCATGAATGGGTGGGAAAAGTTAGCGATTGAAACGTTATACCTCACTACCAGAGTATGGTGAAAATAGGTAAATGATACATTCGCCGTACTTAGAACACAGGATATAAATAAGTTTTTTGAACAAACCAACTTGAAGGTGGAGGCAATTCAATTCATTGATGAACTGGAAAGTCAGGAAGCGGAGCTTCCAATGTTAGACTGCAGCGTAAAAAGGAAGGATGGGAAGTTAAACACCAGAAAAACAACAGAAAACCCACACATTCAAACCAGTATTTGGATTTAAGATCATCTCAACCTGTCAGTGGAAATAGGATTGGTGAAATGTTTAAGTAATAGGGCAGAAAAACTAAGTTGTACCAAGGTAAATCTAAGACAGGAAAAGAGGTATATAATAGTAGCTTTGAAACTTAATAATTACCCTGATAAATTAATCAGGAAGTATGTGGGAAAATGCAAGAATTAGTAATAATGGTGGTAATAGTAATAATAACGACATGCATAACAAACGTGTAGAGAATCATGACAATACCAACAGTAGGGAATTTCAATTACCAGTAGTACTTCCACAACCAGAAGGAACCTGGGAAACCTTATCTAGAATTCTTAAGAATGCAGGAGTAAAATGGCATTTAAACCCACAAACTCAATTAAAAACAGGCTCTGTGAATTAAAGGATCCTGTGGGGTCAATTAAACAATACAGTTTAGTTTACCTAGTACCCTGCAATGAGTATCAGGTCAAATACATAAGTTAATGTAGAAGCGCAAAAACTTAGCAAAATCTGGATTAGTTGAGCCTAACCAGACAAGAAATCTAGAAAATGACTCATCTATAGCACTACATGCAAATATACACAACCATGCAATAGGACGGGTTAAGATGACAGTTTTAAAATCTAATGTAACAGAGTGGAGGGAGAGATTGATAACGGAAGCTGTGTTTATCGAATCAACTGCAAACTTGGATGAAACAGCTGTCCAGTACTCCCTGGTTTTCAGTGGTTCTCTAACTGATATCAATCCGTTGTCAAACTCGTAAAAACAAATCTAATCCTTACAAACCAACTCTTCAAAATATGTCTAATAAACAAATTAATCTGGAACTACTGTCAGATAGATAGATTGAGATGGTTAGGTCACGTGCTGCGCATGCCTAGCCATCGCCTCTCCCGAGGGGCATTACTAGCTGATATAGGTGCAGGTTGGAAAAGAGTAAGTGGTGGCCAAACAAAAACATGGTATGAATCCATGAAATCCCTGACAGTTAAACTGAGTCAGGTAGGGAGATGCAGACTTCCGGGTTGGGGCCCTCGGGACTCTAGGAATCAATGGCTGGAGACAATAGGTGAAATGGCTCAAAATCGTTGTCAATGGCTTACGCAGATGTATTCAGTCTCTTGTGTAATCTTTCATATTCCTTTCTACCATTACTCATTCTGTTTCACTCTTATACTTGTCAAAACTCTATTGATTCTCTTCACTCATCTTGTCTACCTTTGTGTGCTCTTTGGAACGTGGCAACTCGAACTGCTGCACTTCGGTGCCAAGTTCTATGTTGAATCCAGCAGCAGCAGATAGTATATGTAGTTATCTTCGGGCAATGTGTTACACAACCTTATTGTTCGTCTCGGGTTAAAGTAAAAAGGCAGGATTACCGTTAACTGCGTACATGTGTGCAATCTCCGTTTTCAATTTTCTTTTACTGATTTCCTGTGAGTATCTTAATTTAATTTCCAGCCATCGAGTATAAATCCCTAATCTGTTCTTCTGAATTCAGCCATTACAAATATTTTCTTTTGCATTTTGAGTAGAGTTTTTCCTCCCATCTGCGTCAGAGTTTTAAAAGAGTTCCTCTTAAGCATCTTGAATTTTATACTTTTCCTGTGTGCGCTGGTGGCACAGCGGTAAGGACGCTCACCGACCATGTACATGGTCCGGGGTTCGATCCCCTGCTGACGCACATGTGATACCAGTGGTCGGCCTGTCCAATTTGGACTACCGATATCACAAGCTGAAAATTCCATACTTGTACCAGAATACTATGTGGAATCAAGCTATAATAAAAATAAATAAAATAAATAATTAAGCATGAAAAAGGGACAAATAATTTTTTTCTGAAATTGCATATATTATCTTGCCGCCATCTTGACAGAGTATTTGTAAGACTTCCAGGGATAAGTTAGTACTTAAAGTTTTTGTCGAAAGTGGAATGTGATGAAGAACTTTCATCTTGGTTCAATCACAGCACATCTTAAACATACAGACTGTGACTCCCAAACTTCCGTGTAGTCGTAGTTTGTGTTGTACCGAGATTGCCTTTTGAAAAAGTGTTGTAGACTTTCGTGACTTTAAATCAATGCTGATTACTGAAGTGTATTTACTTGACCATTACGTTCTTCTATTGTCTTTTTTGTACCATTTTCGTGAAAAAATGTCATCTGTACTTAACTTTCCTTTCTGTTCTCCTGTTGTTTTATTAACTGTGCTGCAAACCACAAGTAATCACTCAGAATGAATAACTTATGCTTCATTAGTTTGTATTTCTCTTTTAGCATGAAAACGACGTTAAGAATGTGAATGATTCACTGCAATATATATAGCCCAAATGACCACTTTTTTCATGCTAACCATTCAGATTACTTAATCTCCCTTAGATGATATACATTTCAAAGATTGTTCTTCTCTCTGATAAAATAAAGAATAAAGAATACTTTGCAAGCGTTTTTAGTCTATTTTATTATTAGGGTGCAGCAATCCTGTGAAATTGAAGCATTTTTCAAACATATATACTGTTGTATATTCTGTCCTTCTGTCAATTTTCTTTTGATGATGATGATGGTCGTTAAATTGTCAGAATACTTCTTTATGTCAATTAAGCGATATTCAGTGTTATCACATTATCATCGAATGTTTGCATTGTTGGATATTACACTACTACTAATATACACATACAAATATTGTATGCAAAAAGAAGTATGCACACAAGTCTTATTGAATTTTCTATCATAATCATATGAGGCTTATTTTTGATGGATTTGTTTGCAATATTTATTCTCCAGGGTGTACATATATATATGTATATATATACATATAGGTCTTTCAAGTATTTATTAGTTTTTTTTTTACATGTTTTTGGTTTCATCGGTGTATAATCTATCTACCTCAATATGATTACTACTGTTTGTCAGAATACCTGTGTGTTTGTGTACATAGAGATGTCGAATTCACTGAACACTCACTCCATCGGTTGCACATTGTCATTTTACAAGGCTAACATAAAAATACTCTTATTCTGCAATAAAATGTATGATTGATTGGTCTGTTACGATAAAAAAAAAAAGAAATGTGGATTTTGATTAATTCAGTAATTCTTTTTAGATATCTTCCGAAAGTTAACATGAAAGTTTTACAACTTAAAAAAAAGAAAAACTCCACTTTTTGTACAGTTTTTATAGTTGTGTGTTATTTTAAGGCTATCATTAAGAAAAAAGAAAGCATACATATATTTAGGGTTTTGAGTATTGTTCACGTATTATAAATAAAAACGTGTTAAATATGTTTGATACGTCTGAGATTACTTCGCCGCTAACCGACTACTGGCTATTAATTTATGATTTCCTGAATATTCTTCAGTGTGGAAATCACCTTTGTAGGGGACTTTACAGCCAGCTCAGTAACGGAACAAATATTAGAATAGAAATCCAAGTTAATCAAATAACATTGTGACAGTATATTATGAAAAACACAGTTAATTAGTTATAGAAATTAATGGTTACTTTGTGATACAGTTAAAGTCCGCTGCTACAAATTATTAATATAATCCACAGAAGTGTTCATTGCTGGAGTCGCATCTACTAGTAGAGGCTGTGCATCGGTTATAGAATAGTCTTCAGATGAGAATGAGAGGTTCCTGCAAAATCCAAAGGATACAACACAGTTCGTAGTAGACTGTATGGACCAGTGAGAAGATGAAACGTCAAGTAGCGCACTGTGTTTTACATTGTACTCCGAATTTATGTATATTTTACAATGAATTGTTTTAAAACAAAAGTTATGTACAATGTTTACATTTTTAACATCTATCAAAAAACTGTACAATCATATTGTTCCAGACTCCCTTCCTATCTTCAGATGTCACCTATATCTTACAGTTTGTCCGGAAGTGTATGCACAAAACTCGATTCACGTTTCACTTTGAAACAAGTATTCAAAGTTTAGATATGTTTACTTTATGCTCGTTGTAAAGCAGAAATTCTGTTAAGAAAGAGTCATTCTCATAATGGAACGCATTACAGCTGTGCAGCTTTCTATGTTTTACTCCTTATTACATTCCAATAAAAAAAATAATAACTTCATTCTGAAAAAGGCTTTAATTATTATTGTTCCCTTGGGTTCCTAGTGGAACATAGGGCTTCAACTGCACGCCTCCACTTGCTTCTGTCTTCTGCTGTACTTTTCACTTGCATCCATGTTAGTCCATACTGTTTCAACTCTTCGTCACACGATCTCCTCCATGTCACCCTTGGACGTCCCACTCGCCGCTTCCCTTTCGGGTTCCACTCGAGCACTGGCCTGACGCGTGATGTCACCAAGTGGCCTCCTCAGCGAGTGTCCAATCCATCTCCAAGTTCTCCTGCATATTTGTTGAGTGATTGGTTCTTGTTTGTTTGTTCCCATAGTTTCTTGTTGGTGATTCTTTACGGTCATCTGATCTCTTTCAAATTATTTACTCCGGGCATAGAATCTTCAAATAAATTAACAATCGGTAATATATCATCTGAAGTGATGTTGTTCTGCCTAAAGCACGCTCTAATAACCCGCCATGCTTTCTCTTCCTTTTCTTCAAAAAATCCATAAGGGTATGTTCACTCCTATTTAAAAATAGGCATTGAGTACAAATTGTGATCCAGAGATGTAATCGGATACTTAAAACAACTTGAAATAAAGTAAATAAGATACATTTTGATGTTTGGAAAAATTTGGTATCCCAGTGATTGAAGTATGCCGCCCGACAGCACTGTATGTTATTGAAATTACCAGCTATTGATGGTTCTTATTCTGAACAGATAGTTGTCGTTATCAGTCTAAAAATTTACAGAAAAGAAATTAGACAGTCATATTATCTTTTATTTCCAACTTCATTATACTACTCACTGTCATGTGTGTCCCTTTGTTTGAAATCAATATCTTCATCCATCATAGATAACTGTGTACTATTGAACCAGTAAACGAATCAACAGAAACATGTTGGTAACTAAAATCACATTTGTGATATGATTCAACCGTCTACCAGCACAATTGGTGAACACGTATTGTTATTATACAAATACCTACATTGATGAGCTCCATCTTGTATGCGTTGATCGAATGTATATACTGTTGATACTATCACTGAAACATTCTTCAGAATTCATTGACTCTTCATCATATTTAATTGTTTGAAAGATGTAGACTCTTTCGTGATCATAGATTTTCATAATTGTCTTTCGCAACATAATTCTCTTTCCAATACAACTGGTTATTTGTTTGCTCATCATATCATAGTTATTACTTGTAATGTGTAAAATTTAGTTGTAAGTACTTATTGTTCACAGAGTGTTAATTCACGTTAAGTTGAATTCGATGGTGGCAAAGCTTTTAGTGAAATTCAAACCATCCTTATCGTTACAAGCAATTATTTATCGGATATTAAAATTACCCACTTCCTGCATTTTATTTCTATTGTCATTCAGTACATAGATTGTTAATATTTTTGTAGATGTACTTAAAAGGGTGAATGATTTAGCAATCTGACGAGTACTTTATTGTTCTTGGTTATGCGTACCAGATTCTAGACTGTTATGCGCACTTGATATGTGATCACTGGTGACATTGCCAGATTCTCCAAGTCGAAGTACTATTATTATTATTATTGTATCCTTTAATTCCTACAGGAACATAGGGCTTCAGCCGTGCGTCTCCATTGCGTTCTGTTCTCTGCTAGAGTCTTCACCTGGCTCCATGTCTTCTCACACGTTTTCATCTCCTCTTCACATGACCTCCTCCAAGTCACCCTTGGACGACCAACTCGCCGCTTCGCTTTCGGGTTCCACTCGAGCAATGGCTTGTCTAGTGGTGTCACTTGATGGTTTCCTAAGAGTATGGCCAATCCATCGAAGTAAATGAGACCTTTACCAGTTGATAGTTAAAGCGTCGAGTTAACCAAGCATAATTTCAAATATATTGACATGACATTTCATAACAGAACCAAAGATCCCAGCTCATTTCAAATACTCTTTTTTCTATAACTGTTGGAATGTTTTTCTCCTCTCTGCTGAACATATATGCTTGAAAATCAATGGTTAATTCTCGTTGTACGCTTTTAATTTTCAGCAGTGTTCACTGAACTAATAACATAATAATGAATACATCACTATTGTTCATTGTTTCCTCTCTACGATTATATCCCATTCTTTATAACGCATTTCCTTCTTACAATGAAAGCACAGACTACTACAGCTTTCAAAACTTTTTAAAACTGTCCGCGGAAATTTCTATTCACACTAAAGAGTATATATTATCATGAGGGGTTTATATTTCTAAAAATATTTTTTTCTTACTGATGTGTTGCCATTTGATGTTAATAGCTTTATCAAAATAATTCTCTGAAACCTAATTCCGATTTTTCGAAAAAAAATTAAATGCAGGGAGATTAATTATTCGGTTTTGCTAAAGATGATTGGTGTAGGTCTGGTTCTAATACTACCACAAACGTATCATCAGCTTACCTTCGCTATATTTTTTAACCTTGTATAGATGTGAAAAGATACTATCTTCAAATCTATATGACTCGCGACTGTTGATGATGCTGGTGAGCTCATGACTAAAATGTCGATCTGTCGATGTAAACTTCCTTTAAGGCCTTACTGATCTCATTTGTGTTCAGTGGAAATCATTCTGATCGAATGGTATCTGGTTCGAAAAAAAGTAAAATCAAGTGAATCCTTAATTATATATTGTATGTTGTTGGAGAGATTATATGTTACTGAGTATCTTTGGTTGACCTTTATGTGTTGATGCAAGACCAGTTGTACAGAGTTCTCAAACCTAGATCTTAGTTTTTGAAAAAAAAACAACAACTAGATCTTATATACTTGTAGTTCCTTAAATTCACTCTGATATTTTTAATGTCTTGTAGACGCCCAGTCTTAATTTATTTGCATATAGTAATCGGTTAAGCAAAAGTTTAGTCTTAAGTTGGACGATCAAAGGAAAGGTGTATGACACCGAATTGGTCGGAAAATATATGAAGTTGATTTTGCTTCTATTTCGCACCTGTTTTTAATATAAGCGTAATATTATAATTCACTTTTTTCTTTTCATATTTACTGGTTACAATTTCTCTTTTCTGCCCTTTTTTTCTTCTCCAGGTATCCGAACGCTTCAATGTATTCTATTGAAAGTTGCTTTGCTATTTGGTGTACAAGTATTTCCTGGCACTACTTACACATCTTTAATTGAACCAAGTTTCAGTAAAGGTAATTCAGTATATATATCTACATATATATGTATATATATATATATATATATATTATAAATGCGTTATTCCCTCCACTAAATGCCATATATATGAATCATTCGCTTGTTGAACTTGCTTCTATAGATCATAGTTTTCTAATGCATTACTGTTTTTGCAAAATATGTAACTTTAACCGGATTAAGGTTGCCGCCAATCTGTCTTGCGCTCGGTTTCTTATTCGCCTGTTGGTATTTCTTTTCCTTTTTTCTCTGCATTTTAATACCTGATAATTAATTTGCGGATTCATGCAAAAAAATGTGATGGTGCAACATATATCAGTAGTGTATATACAGTAGTATGTATAAGTTGTATTTTAACACAGACTCTATAATTTTTTGATCTATAAATTACACTGTGCTTTAGTGAAAATTAATAAACACTGCATTTTAGCCAAAGAATTGTTTACTTATATTTATAGTGTAAAAGAAGTTGAATGGATTATCGTTTAGTTCGGTCCATCGACATTCTAGCTGATTTATGAGCTAATAGGTGCTTCGTTTAAGATTCATTCCATTTACCACAGTCTGGGTAACTAAATGGAGATTGTCATATGCCTGCAGCCGTCAGGTAATAATAACAATGCGTTGCGTAGAAGACCATACACCGTGTAACTTAGATTCGATACGCTTACACTATGGTTAAGCTAGGGTAACTGGTATTACAGTGTACTATAAGTGATATTCAGGTTTCTTCCATGCTCTTTAGAGTTTTCCATCCTTTTTGGTGAAGTAGTCAGTCATTTACTCAGTCTTTGAACATGATTATCCGTGTAGTAGACTTGTTTATCATAGGGGGGAGGTCATTGCATCTGTGAGCTGTCTTCAGTGATCAGCGTAACCTTTCATACTACTGTGGGACATATTGAGAAGTATTTTTCTTAAAAACAGTAACTTAAGCACGTTTTCTTTGTTCTGTGAAGTCAGTCAACAAGTAGCGATACCTTACTTAAGCTTCGTTTGTATGTGTGTTGATATTCATCACTTTGGCGCCTGTACAACGTCGAAAGGACTTAGAGATTCCTGCATGAGAAACATAGATCACATACTTGAAGATAGGATTTTAGTATATCTCATTATGTTTTTAGTACCCATTTCGGTTTGGCAAATTCATCTTGTCACTTAACATTACTTCACCACTTGTCAAATGAATGCCTTTTTTACTTTAAGTGGTGTAATTCTAACTTTTCATATTCAATTAGCAGACAAATTCTTGTCCATAGTTTTGTGCAGTACCATCAGCTTGAATTACATATCCCTTCTCAATACCCTCGTAATTATCATCCTGTCATTTTTTTCTTACCAATGTAAGCTGGACTGGTTGAAATAAGGTGCTTTTTATGGGAGGTTCCAGGTTTGTTTCACCTGTTCATCCAACTTCTTGTGCCTACCCACCCACACAAAAATGTTAAAGATTTCACAATATATAAGCATATCGCCTATAGGCTTCGACAATAGAAAACAGTTTATCACCACTTTGCACGGAAAACTATCCTTAACGCATTCTTGTCTGTCATTGAGTATTATTCTGTCTTCACTATTCACACTTATGCATGATTGGTTTTTTATCTGCTTCTTGATTATTGATCTAGTAGTCATTTCCATAGGTACAAGTTAAAGAAGAATATTTCCCATCGTAGCATTTAGCGTATAGCATAGTTATATTTATAGTTAGTTATTGGAATAAAACTTTTCAACTCTTCAGTGTACATTTGAAGAGATATCTGTACAATAACATACAGGACTTATCACTTTACTTACTATACCTGTTTTTGTTTTTATTTGATAAATAATTCAAGTTACAGGTTTGATCACGAGTTGACATCAGTTAGAGAACCATTGGAAAACTTGGGAGTACTGAACACCTTTTTCGTCCTAGTTTGGGACTCTTCAACAAACAGTACTCATACACTCGTGATCAAACCTCTAACTATTCAAACCCCTGCAAATCATCACTTGATAAGTAATTTTTATTTTATTAGATATGAAATTGGAGCCTTTCCGCTTCAAATCTCCTGTGAATTTTTTTGATACTGATTTGATAATGGACACACTGTGACACTTTGGAAAACAAACAGTTTTGGATGTGAAACCTTACTTTTGTTATGCTCACCTTCATATTGAATGTATTTCTTTATTAAGGTTGAATTCAATAACAGAAAGGTTAATGAACTCAAAGTATGAGCGTACAGCCGAAAAGTTTGTATTTTTGATTCAACAAAATTATTTCATAAGTGGTACCTAGTTAGTTAATCAGTTGGAACTCAGTACCCGGTACCGGGGCTGTAGGCCAAGCTGTTATTGTTTTAGGGCTGGTTGCCCGAACTAAATTAGATGGAAAGATATTTGAGCCCGGAACCCACTGTCTGGAAGTCGAGTGTAAGCCAATAAGACTCATCTTCACATGAGTAGTACCCACTTTGTGTCAGTAGAGGATATCACAAAAAAGTGGCAAAAATATAGAACCTGTAGTATTTTGCTTCTACCAAATCCTTGTAATTTTCAACCTAAAACTATCAACGAATTTTAATTATGCCACCTAGGTCACTCAGCTTGTTTTTGTTTAGACAATCAAGTGAACAGCTCAGCAGATCTTCATATATGTAAAATTGAATTAAATAATTAATATGACCCGTTGCACAGGAGGTGGCTCTCGTGGCCCAAGTGGTCTAGTGGATAACGCTTTGGCATTTGAAACTATGGGCACTGGGTTCGAGCCTCGGTGGGAACATCATTCACTGGGGGATACCCCCAGTGAGTGATGGAGGTGCATCCAGATGACGAGTCCCAAATAGGATGAAATGCGCATCCTGGATTCCACTGCTAGTCACCATCCACCAATTAACTTCTAAATACATACATCCTTTTCAAGAAAAAAAATAACTGTTGTTGTATTATGTCTATTATATCGGTGTACAGTCACACGACAGTGTGAGACTGTCACAGTCCTTAAGTCTCATAAATTTAAGGGTAGATGCAGAAACTAGTTAGTGAATGCTTGTCCATGAAATTGATTTAAGTCATTCTAACAGCATTGATGTCCACTTAGTTAGTCTAAAGGTGAATGCCGCTTCAGACGAATACTCAAAATGCACTGTTTTGTCGTGTATATTCAACTGTTCACTCAGTCCTCTTTAGCTCTCCCCACGACGGAACATAGACTGTCACCTTCTCGTCCATATCACCATCAGACCGTCGTTTCCCATTCAGATTCCACTCAAGGATCTGGCACACCATGTCATTAGACGATCTTCTCAGCGTTTATCCTGTACATCTCCATTTTCTTCCGAATATTCGTCGAACAATAGGCTCTTGATTCGTTCTACCCACAGTTCCTTGTTGCTAATTCTTTCCGGCCATATGATCTGCAGTATGGAGCTAGCGAAGGCAACTGTTGATAAAAGTCTGCGGTAGCCTGTTGGAAATGATTTCCGTGACGCATCCACCGACTTTCTGACCCATATGGAAGAGCCAACTGACTGACTTAACATTGGTGTTGAAAATCCAAATTCTGTTCTCTGTGCTGAGTGCAGAAGATCTCCAAAATGATTTCAGAGTGACGAAGGTGTGTCTTTCCTTTCCGATGCTGCTTTCGATTTCCTCATCGATACCGCTTGTATTTGAAACAATGCTGACTGGATAAGTGAGAGGTGACTTTCTTCAAAATTCCTCTCGGTAGTGGTGGTGGTTGGTGCTTGTTGTTCTTGCTTGGTTGATTGGTTAAGTATCTTCATCACCTCTGCCTTCTCTGAGTGCCTCTTCCATCAAATTGTTGGTTTTCGGCGGTAAGTGTTCGGATTTATGTGGCTTCGCTGAGTTTTCCTTTGTGGATCGATCATGTGATATGTGGCATTGTCATATAACTGTTGAGTAAGGTTGATGAAGAGTCTGTGCACGTTATAGTTTTGAAGTCGTTTCAAAGTTAATTTGCGGCCAACTTTGTTTAAGGCTTTTTCAAAATCGATGAAATTGATTTAGAGATTTGACTGCCTTCATGCGCTCTTTTCGATTATGATGCGTTCAGTTGTGAAATGATCACCACATGATTTGCTTTTCCTGAATTTAGCTTTTTCATGGCTCAGTTCTACATCGACTGCATCTTTTGGTCTTTCCAGGATTAGGTGACTTAGTGTTTCACTTGACGTGGACAAGAGCATAATTCCGTGCCAGTTCTTGCAGAGGCCTTAGTTGTCCTTTTTTGGTAGTTTGACAAGGTAGCTTTTCTTCCAGTCCACAGTTACCTTACCTTCCTTCCAAACTTTTTGCAATAGTGGCGTCAGCATATCCACTGAGATCTTTAATTTAGTTTTCAGTGCTTCTGAAGGAATCCCGTCCGGTCCTACTGTCTCCCCTGTTGTCAGTAACTTGGATGCATTCAATACCTCTGCTTTTGTCGGAGGATTGGTATCCACTAGCAGTTTTGTGGTTGTTGGTAGTATTTCTGGACGAGTTGCAGGTAATGATCGGTTCAGGAGTCCTTTGAAGTAATCAGCCTATTGTTTTCATTGTTTCTTCCTTCTGATAATTAAGTTCCGTCGACCATCACTTATTGGTTTCATCTGTGTTTATCCAATACTGGATATATACATGGTTATCTGATATAGTATTCTAAGATATTTTTTGCTGTTAATCGAAATATTGTTGGTTCGTGTCCATCTAAAGGCGATATGGATTTAAGTCGTGGTGGCTGAATGGTTTGCTAGCCAACCTTGTAACTGGAAGGTCCTGGGTTTGAAAACCGTACTATGGAAGAATCGTAAACTAGGACGAAACGGCTGTCTAACACACCCTGGCAAAATTGACTTTAAAAGATTCTGAATGTGTTTTGGAGAATTATTAACCTCTGATGGTACCACAGTGTAAAGAATGTTGAGTTGTAGACTAGTGATCTACATCAACATCAGCGTACGTCATCCTAAGTAGTTGTAATATGTTTCTATATCTTTATCCACTGTCCATACAA